CCTCCCACCCCTTTGTTGAGATTTGGTAAGATTTGAAGGGGTCCCTTTCCTTCTCACATGAGGTTTACCCGGGAAAAACGGGACACCCGAAAAAAATAAATAAAAAAAAGGGGCGAGCGTGTAATTGTGTACACGGGTAAAAAGTGAAACTTCTTTAGATAGTATATTATAATAGTTTTTTATAAAAATTGTATTAAAAATTGTACTAAAAATCAGAAAAATACAACTTTATTACTAGCGGATGAATGCGGAATACGGTTTAGTTTTGTTAAAAACTTTTACGATTGTATCATATAAAACTGCAGAGGGGAATTACAAATCAAAACAAACAAACACAAACGCACATATAATTTTTGTATGTGCGATCTGCTGACAATTTGTCGAAATGGCTGTTTTCGGATTATCGGTTGCTACTGACAGATTAGCTTCTGAAGCCTGTTAAAATGAATTCTTTTGGACATATTTACCACCGCGTGAAGTGTGACGCATTTCGGTTTTATACCCTAGTAAATTTCCTTCCTACCGTCCATAAAGAAGTTTCACTTCAATAATGTATATATTTTGTTTATAAAAAGTTGTCGTGAGATTATCAATTTCCCCCACTCCCTTTAAAAGAGATAAGATAATTATTGGATGTCCCCTAACATAAAGCTCATAATTCAATACGGTGGTCGAAATACATTAATTTTAAAAGAAACAATTTTTCTGATTCAACTACTTAATTAAAATTTTTAAAAAAACAAAGTGTACATACTTACGTACATTTTATTTAGCCACATATGTCATATGCATATTACGCATGACGCACTTTCGTCTTTCACAAAGCGCCAGAAGAAGTATACCTTCAAGAAAATTGAAAACCTGAAATAGTTTTAACAAAAATCAGAATTGTTTCTTTATTCTTATAAAAAGCTTGATATAATTACTATTTCTCGGGGGCTTGAGATTTTAAAGCTTATTTAATTTCATGTAATTGGGGTTTTATTTTTAGTTTTAGTTAAGCTTTTTCTAAGAGAAGGTAGGTATTTTATATAGTTTTTATTATATGTATTTATATATGATTATTTATGTATATCAATTTTTATTAATGAGGTTCAAATTACATATTAGGTACTTAAAAAGTGTGGATACTTTTGCTAAATATTAAAAGTAGGTATTCGATTATCAAAGTAAAGTTTATAATATGAAATATTCTGAAAATTCATTCAAGGTACGTATAGCCAAAGGTCCCGGGTTCGATTCCCGGCGAGGGTGTGACAACAGCAACAATTTATTCTTTTCATTAACTTGAGGTAGCGTGTAGTGGGTATCAAATTCAAAAATGAATTTTCAGAATAATATTTCATATTAAACTAACTCACTTCGAAAAGATGTCTAAATTGTATGTAT